AATCTTGAGAAAGAGAAGGCTCAGGGTTGTTGGCCTCGCTGAGGGTTCCTGTGTTCCCCCAAACCTGCTTTTATCTGGAAGTCCTTAGCTGAGCTTCCTCCATCCCCCATGAACGGTGTGGTGGCCGGGGAGGCAGTTCTCTGTAGCTTCTGAGATGGTTCTTCTGCCTCTCGCAGGATGTTTGACGTTGGTGGCCAACGGTCGGAGCGCAAGAAGTGGATCCACTGCTTTGAAGGCGTGACAGCAATTATTTTCTGCGTGGCCCTCAGCGATTACGACCTCGTCTTGGCCGAGGACGAGGAAATGGTACGTTACAGAGGAGCTATTGGTGCCAGGCTGCGTGGCACTGGAGAGGTGGAAGCAGGCACAGATGGGGATGGACGTGTCTCTGGCTTGCTCCTCTTGTTGCAGTTGTTCAAGGGCTGTGAAGATGAGCACTTCCTTGCAGCAGCCTGCAGTATCTTGCCCCAGAAACTCCATCAATATAATGTGTAATTGAGATTTTTCTCCAAGCCCTGCTTACAAGGAGGTGCCTTGAGTTGTCCCTGCAGCCTGTTCCCTTAGATGTGAGTTCTTCCTTGGAGGAACGAACGTGTCCTGGGGGAGTTACGGGATGAGGAGGTGACCTGACCCCTGCTCGGGGTTGTGCCAGTGCCCTTCCTGATGAAGGAGCAGTGAGGCTATGTCGTGACACTCGACTCTTTAGTCTGACCTTTGCAGTAAAGCCTGTCTGTCCCCCACCCCATCCTCCCCTAATAACTCCGGAGTGACGCATCACCCTCCTCGTTTTATTCTTTCAGAACCGGATGCACGAGAGTATGAAACTGTTCGACAGCATTTGTAACAACAAATGGTTCACAGACACGTCGATCATTCTCTTCTTGAACAAGAAAGACCTGTTTGAGGAAAAGATTAAGAAAAGCCCACTAACGATCTGCTATCCAGAGTACACAGGTGAGGTCGGGCTCCTGACACTGCGTCTTGTCACTGGGGCCAGGAATGAGTCAGTTAAAGCCCACACAATCCAAGAGAACTTAAAAGCTTATCTTTGTCCCCCTTCCCTTAGCTCTGGCTCTTGGGCAGCATCTTTGGGCTGTCCAGTCAGCTGCTACCTCATTTTCTTGGAAGAGATGTGGTCGTGCATGTCTGTGGTTCGGAACAGCCTGTGTCCGTGTGTTTTATGGCTTGGGGTACGAATAGCAAAGTATTGCACTCCAGCAAATCGAGGCCACTCTGCGTTTTCCGCATCTTACTAGGAAAATACTTGGATTTAACCACAATTTTAGAGGGTAGGAAGCTTATCCGCTTGTCCACCCCAGTGTGTCCGTGTTTCAGCTGCGGTGCAGCCTTTCCCTGCCACGGCCCCACACGGACGGGATGCTTTGCCATCGCTGCTCACCATTTAGATACTTTTTTTAAATGGTCCTTCCTTCCAACTTGCTTATTCCTGCCATTTGTCACTCCTCTGCTATAACCACACGTTTCTAGCATGAAGCGTTACTGTAGCCAGCGTACGGCGTTCCCTTCTGGCGATCTCTGGGAAGAGAGGCTGGAGCAGGGAGCAGTCGGTGAGTGACTTGTCCAAGGTCACTGACCAGAAGCTGGGAATAGACCTTCAGCTTTACAAGAAGGGGTTAACGGTGGATTTGGATTTGTAGCTGGATAAGGCAGATGGTTGCAAGCAGCTTAATATGTACTTAAAAGATCTCTCTGCTGTGAACTGCTGGCCAAAGTGAGGGATCTTCTCTTTTTCCAGGCTCCAACACGTACGAGGAAGCAGCTGCCTACATCCAGTGTCAGTTCGAGGATCTGAACCGGAGAAAAGACACCAAGGAGATCTACACGCACTTCACCTGCGCCACCGACACCAAGAACGTGCAGTTCGTGTTCGACGCCGTGACAGACGTCATCATCAAAAACAACCTGAAGGAGTGTGGGCTCTACTGAGGAGGAAGAGGTGTGCGAAGAAGGTAAAGCTGGGCCACTGGCAGCCTCGAAGCGCTGCGCCCCGGCTCGGGCCGGCTTTGCCTCGCGCCTCCCTAACGCTCCCTGTTTCCTTTCCAGTTTTCCCGACGTGGCGTTTCGAGAACCAGACTCTTTGCTGCCTGGCGGGGACAGCTGGAAGCATGAACAGGACCAGGGGAACGAACCCAGCATGCAGGATCGTTGCATTCTTTAGCACAACCTTCTGTATTAGGGACCTTTTTCTTGATGGGGCTGGTGGAGTTGGGTCGAGGTGGAACAACCGTTAGTGTGACTAGATCGTCCGGGCGTCGTGTGGGTGGCGTGATCTCAAATGTGTACAGCTGTTGTGAAGTCGAGGTGCTGGATTCCAGACCTTCAATATGTAGCTTTCTCTCTTTCTTTGGTTAAAAAACCACTAGTCTGTTTTTAAGGTGTTTTTTTTTTTTCCATCAAGAAAACTATAACTTTACTAAATTTTATTTCTTTATTTGCAAACGAATCTTGTTTTAAAAATAATAAAAAACAACAACAACAACAACAAAAAAATCACTTAACTATGCACATGTGACCAGATCATGCAGAAAGTATTCCTCTTAGCAGGAACTCTTTGTTTTTAACACTTGGTATGGTCAGGATTTAATATTTCTGCAACTATTTAAAGGATCCTTAGAGCTCTTAACGGCGATAGCTTCGGCTTTTCCTGGCGTGTGATTTGTCACTGTCCAGCTGCCATCAGGCTTTTGGAAGGAGCTTCTGCAGCAGGACAAGCGAGTCTCCTTAGGTGACGGTCAAGGGTGAGCCTGGTTTACGCTGGCACCCAAGTGGAGACTCGCTCTGCGCGGTGGGCACAAAACCAGCGTCGCGGTGAAACGCCGAGCTCCGAACTGGGCGGGAAAGGCTGCTACAGAGCTACCAAATCCACCACTTCTTGTGCATTTCTGGCTAAACCAGTGGGCAGTTTTGTAAGGGGTGCACCTTGTTCTGCATTTCTCATGGCCTTTTCCGTTCAGAGACTCCGAAATGTGCGGACGAGCATGCCTTTTCTTTGTAGATGTGGTGCCAAACTCCTGTTTGCCATTGTTTTTACCGTAGTAACGCTCGGAACCGAGCCAGTACATTCCTCTGCTGAAC